AAAGAGTGTATAGATAGTATGCATTTCAGATATGGCATCCTGTTTTCAGGTATTACTATAAGTTTTTTTAAAATTACCATGAAAAAGACTATATAATCTATATGTTACAATCTATCTACATGTACAAACACAATATACACATAACTGAAAATTCAGGTTAAAAGTTAAATGCTTCTATAATATACTGCTAATATTTTTTGGGCATTATGATGACGTACTTGGATTTTTGTCTTGGTCCATGCCTTGTTCATGTGCCTCCTGCCATTCCCAACATGTTTCACAGTAAGCCCGTATCTGTTCCAAAAGATGGAGCACACGGATTTCCCGTCTGCCTCGCTTATCATCAGGCTGAGAGTGAATGATGTTATGCAGTGCTGCACTGGCTCTGGCACGGGCTTCCTTACTGCCCCGGGAGTTTCCTAACAACACAGAGTCTTTATCGTTGCCATGTAAAAGCTGGATGAGGAGAGGAAGACATCCAGACTGACGCATGGCTATGCAGCTATCTTGGGAGCTAGACATAGCTAGCAAAGTTCGTGACATGTCATCCTTATCATGAGTACCAAGCATTGACAACAATGAATACACCATTTCCACCTGTAAACCAAATAATTAAAGAACTCAGTTACACTTTTATTTAAAAAAAACCAACAAAAAACCAGAACACATAATAAATTAAACTTAAAATGAAGTGATGGGTGGTTTATATGAGCAAAGAAGAAAATTACTTTAAAAATTGTGGAAAAATGTGTACCGCTTAGAAATGATTGCATAACTACTATTGGTTCTTTGTTGTTTACAACATTAATCATAACTGCACTTGGTAGTAATGTAGATAGAATAAGTGAGTAATATTTGACCTGTTTTTATTCATCTTTACCCCGATTAGTTTTAGATATTCATTGTACTAAAAGATTGAAACAGCACACTAATGAAAATGTGCTATCCAGTAATACTTTTGTTTGAGTGCCAAGATACATTTACTAATAATTTTATCTCTGAAACAGATATACATTTTCACAAATCATATTTTTATGGAAAGACATATCTCCAGTGCCAAATACCATGCTGCTGAGTGAGTTAAATATAGCTACCCTAGACAAAGATTTGTAAGGCCGAGAACAATTGTGTTATTAATGTTGTAGTAAAAACCTTAATACAGATATATTTTAATTTATTTTCTCTAAAGATTTCAAAATCACAGATCAACGTTGCTATAATAAATGTTTTACACATTTTCTGAATGGGGCAGATTATTTACAGATAACAAATTTAACGGATAAAATGGTTGTACACTATTATGAATAAAAGCAGTGAAAAACAGCTGTTTAATATAGGCAATATAAAATATTGATCTTTTATGATTAAGACATTGGATAATGTTCCATACACAATAAATTCAGAACAGCAAAAACAGATTTCACATCAAAATGTTACATTTTGGAGGGAATCTCTGGAGGGTTGCATAATGTAGCAGTTAATTGGTAGCAGCTCTGACTTGTCCATTTGTTTTGGCTTTGGTACATAACTTAAATTGTTCGATTTCACTTTTGACAGAACCATCCAGTGATTTTCAACTAGGATGCTGCAGTACCCTGAGGTGGCACGAGACCCTTTTAAGGATGCCATGGATTGCTGCACAATAATAGCACTGTTAGCTGTGCAAACACCTATATATGATTCACAATATCAACACAGAGATTTCAAATAAAGAATCCAGGGGGCTAAAAACATTCCAAGTTCTTTGCTACAGAAGAATTGCTTTATTATCTTTCTGTGGTCAAAAAACGAGCAACAGCTAAGAGCTAGTATTTTCTAAGGAGTGCATCAAGGCTAACAAGGCATGCCTTGAGTTTAAAAATGTTGAGAATCACTGGAAAGATCTGACATGCAACATATCATCACAATCCTATTAGAAAGTCCCCAAACACTAGCGCCTCCCAAAAACCACCAAAGACCCACAGTTTTCTCTAAGTGGGCTATCCCAGTTGAACAGAGAAACAACAGTGAACACCTTTCTGTAGAACAAGGGTAGGCAAAATTGTGGACCTGGACAGCAGCCGGACTCTTATTTCCCAGCAGCTCCTGCCTGCATGGCTGGGGCCAGTTTCTATGGAGACCCCAGCAGTGACTGCACCATGACAGTGTGGGGCTTGGGGGTTCTGTGGAGACCAGCCCCAGCAGCAATGGCAGGGCGTGTGGCAGGGCAGGGAGCTGCTCTGGAGCCAGGGCTGGGATCTTGCAGAGGAGACAGCATAGTCCAGAGCTAAAGCAGAGCCATGATATGCTGCCTGTATGCCCCTGCCTGTGGCGTGCAGGCTGCAGATCGCGGCTCTGCCCCAGCTCTGGACCATGCTGTCACCTCCACAAGATCCCAGCCCCTGAGCAGTTTCCCACCCAGCTGTGTGCCCTGCCAGTGCTGCTGGGGCCGGTCTCCATGAAAACCCCACCCCGTGCTGTCACAGAGCAGGCTGGAGTCTCTATGGAAACTGGCCCCAGCCACGTGGGCAGCGGCTGCTGAGAAACGGCATTCACTGTGGGCTGGACTATGCCCGCCCCTGCTGTAGAATGATATATCCTTTATATACCAACAAAGAAAGGAATGAGATTTGCTAAATACTAAATTTGTTCAGGTCCACCAATAGCAACTACATTTTTCTAAATAATTAGACAATCACTGATGGATCCCAGGAGGTACATTAGAATTTCTAACACTACTGAAGACAAAATCCAGCCCCTGAGTTCTATAAGATTTGGGTGAGTCAGAGTACTTTAAACTAGACCACGTATTCAGGAAATCATGCATTTCACTAAAGCTATAATACTAATTTAACACAACTGAGAAGTGAAAGCCTTAAACATCTTAAAACTGTATCTTATTAATCTACAATCTATTTAACATTAAAATGTAAAAATGGTAGAACCAAAACTAAAACATCCTTTGACACAACTTTGAGACAGCTCAGGGGTAGATGCGAGGCAACCGCAGATTAGGAATTTTCAATTCCTGGACTGGGAACAATCGAATATACCGGTGAGGCAAAACATGTAGCCTCCCTAAAGTGAATTCAATCTGTTTAATGTATACCTCTTGCCAGACACTTCAAGTAGCATCTTTAATGTACATCATAGAGATTAAATCCAGCAGTGACAGGAGTCTATAATAAAACAATTATTTAGATGTGTGGGTGTAGCTACTTGTCCTGGAATGGAGAGCAGTTGTGAAGAAGATCTTGGGCATCAGCTAAATGAGTCTCCAAGCTAGTGAGAGGTACAACAGTGAGTGGTAATTTTTACTTCCTAGACTACAGGAACATAATTTTAAAGCAAAACAAACCCTAACCCCTCCCCACCCCAAGAAAACCTCGATAAATGTGTATATTTTCTCCCTTTTATTCTCCACTTTCTCCTCTTCTCATGCCTTAACATTTCAAATTTCCCTTGATTTTATAGCTCAGTACAACCTGGCACCACCATCTTTGCTTTTCATCACCCATACTCAAACACATTCACTGTTGTACACTACCCTCTCCTTCACTTGCTCTAGTTTAATTAGTAGATAGCACAGTACAAGTTACTTGTATAGAATTCACTAGCATCTGTGCATTGTACAGTTCTTTTGAAATAAGGTCCCCCATATTCAGCTCCACATATTACAAACAGATTTTGAGAAAAATCAACCAAAAATGGGAGATTTAAAAAAAAATTTTTTTTTTCAAGAATCAACCACATAGAATACAAGCCTGAAAAGATGTATATTACTTGACTGAATTCCTGTGCTTTTACAAGCTGTTTTGCACTTTATCAGCAGTCAACTGTGTATTGTGACATTAGAGGGAAAGGGTTTTTGACAGCTAAAAATCCTATTTTTGAAACTATTTCCTTTGAAAATACTGTATCACAATCAAGAGTCTGTCTCCTCTATTATTATTTGAGTAGAGGTCCCTGATAAATTATAATATGAACAAGAGAATCTAGGTACATTACACAAATATAGGTGGGGTCACTGGGCTTAAAGGATTTCAACAATAATATTTTACTTGATATTCATGGTCTTAATATGCTAAGTAAACTCAAAATCAAGAATTTCTGGGACAGAGTGGGGTGGCCATCAAGGTAAATAGCAAGTCCCAGGATATACATGTTCGAATTATGAAGAATACTCTCCAAAAGGTAGCGGGAATCAGAAGTTAGCATCCACTGTCCTCTACTATATAGCTAAAATGTTATTTGTTTGAGTTATTTTGTGGTGACTACTAAACTTCAGGCTTCCACATTGCTAAACTACTAATTTTAGTCCTGCTGACATGGAAGCAGTTTTTGCCTATAAAGGACAAGGGAAGGTTTCAAAGGGTCTCTAGATCTTCTATAGACACTGCCCTCTCTCTCTTTTTTTTTTGTTAGTGAAGTGGCTGTTGTAATCAATACCTTTACCACTCCTTTTGTCCTTCTGTCCACAAATTATGTGATTAATCATAAATAATATTTTTTGCGCATTTAAATCATTATTATTTAATAAAGAAAACAGGCTTCTGCACAGTAGTGCATAAAAACCCATTCTGCATTGATGAATTCTAAATAATTGCTACCAAAACAAAATGTGTATTGGATATATACTTCAGACATAGAATGAGGTTTACTTTAACCCGTCTTTCTCGTTAAAAATTATCACAAGTATCATTAGGCCATTTTATATGCTAGAATCTCAGTTTCCTTTCATGTCTCCTTAAGAAGACTGTTTCTTTTACAGTTTTATTAGTAATCTTGAATGTTGATTTAGCAGCATCAGTGGTTCAGATAACTTTAGAAGTTTCTCAGTAATAACATCTATTTGAAGAATTCAATTCTGTACAAAGAACAAACCTTTAACACAGGTTAATTTATATATTGGTTCATCCAACTTCAAGAATTTTAGATGCTCAAACAACTTACTGCAATCAATTAAATTTTCCTAATTATAGTAACTCTACCAGTGATAATTCAAAAATTTCCCCACAAATTTGAAGGATTTTTGTGGACAATTTAAAACCTGAAAAATATATTTTAAAGGATAAAAATTCCATGGAATTAGTATGCATGAAAGATCATTTAACTAATATTAGTACTACTAGTAGAAACAATGAGGTTATTGTATTAGTAAAAATGTAGTGTTAGCGACCTGTGGTTTGTAATCTTCGGTTACCTTGGTACCCAGATGACTTGTCAGTCTTCGAGGAACAGAATAGTTACTACTAGAGCTCATCACACTGGCTGTCTCATGGTCCATTCGAGCTGCTGACACCTACAAGCTGCTGAACCCTACAAGTTTAAACAACAATTAGGAAGGATCCACAAAATTTTCACTAAAGAACCAACCATTAATTCTTTAAGTTCCAGAATTTGACCATTTAATTAATTTACAACCATATATTGTTACCATATATTTTAGTTAAAATGCATCAACCACAGCATACTTTGGAAGGTATGATTAAGAAAACCCTCATGAAACTGGCTTTTATTATCCGTTTATCCCCAAACTGCCTCTCCAAATAGCTCTACATCCCTATGCAATTCATTCTGTTACTGGGCTTTATAATAACTACATTCACCCAAAGAAAACTGAACTATAAACTGGACAGCATACAGAAGCAAGGGTCAAGGAAAATAAACCAACACAGATTTCAGGCTACCTTCCATAGAGTAAGTAGGAGTCCTGCATCAATAACGCAGAACCCTCCTTGTGTCCAGAAGAATTTTTCAAAATTTCAGGAGACCTACTTCTCAGAGTCTGCTTCTCACAACCCCAAGGGCAAAAAACTCAACTGCTTCAGAATACAACTGGTTCTGCATCAGTTAACAAGGAGGGAGATTCTACGCATCAAGAAACTTGTGATTTTCAGCAAGGGAAGTCTCTAGGGGCTAAAGTTCTGTTTTTTCCAGTGAAAGAACAAAGACATTAACCAGTGCTTTCAAACTCATTTTTTTGGAGTCTCACTAGAAACAGTTACATGGACAGATACTCTTTTGGATTTACAACTTGACAAAGCTGTCATTATTTTACTTTTTGTCTGGTGTTGTTGTCAAATTTATTTGTTTCTTTCCAGTCCTTTTTCCTTCTGTTTTTTCCTCCTTGGCCAGTTATAAAATATTAGCTTTCTTGTTCTTTTTTTGTTTTCTGCTGCCTACCTCTGATAGATGTCTTTCTTATTCCTTCACTTAACAGAAGGTTCCATTTTTTTTGGATTATCTGAAAGCAGCAATGCTGAGATACACTACCTTCTGCCTTGCAATTGAGCCAAGTGCCAGAAGCAGACAAGTCTGACTGATGAGCTACAGCCTGAGCCCCAGTACTAAATGAGTTTCTCCCACAGTAGCAGAAAAAAAAAAAAGGGAAGACAAGAGATTTCTAAAGAACTTTCAAAGCTAACCTTTCAGCAGTTATAGGCCGGGGGGCGGGGGGACGGGACGGGGACGGGACACCCATTAATAGCAAAGGTGAAGATGGGATGATGCAGTCAGAATCATGCACTTCGTCCTCTAAACCTTCAATCAAGCAGCCAAAAAAAAAACAAACCTCCAATACAGGGGTTTTCAACCTTTTTGGATCAGTGTATGCCTGGCAGCCATACATAAAGCAGTGTACCCCTGGTGGCTGGACATGGAGCAGGGGGAGAGGGGGGGCTGGGGTAGCACACACCCAGATGTGGAGCAGTGGCAGCCCTGCCCCCCACATCTGGCCGGGTAGGAGGTGTGTGGCAGTGCTCCATCCCTGCCTGCCCACACGTACTCCCTAGGGCCTTCTCAAGTGCCCCCAGTTGACAACCCCTGCTCCAACAGTTATAAGATTAAATTGTCTACTGCTTGCCCAGTCTCTCTAACAAAAGCTTCCAAGATGCTTCTCTACTACCATTATTACTACTTCCTTCACTTCCTTCTCCATCCTTCTAACTTGTCTTGGAATCCATCAAGGCAACATATAGCAACAAAAAATGGCAAAAGGTTTAGAAAAGATGACCCACAAAGCAAGGTTAAAAAAACTGGGTTTATTTAGACTAGTCTAGAGCCATCTGAGGTGTACATGGTAATAGCCTTCAAATATATAGAAGAGTAATATAAAGAGGATAGAGTTCTCTATGTCCACCAACGGTAGAATAAGAAGTAATCAGCTTAATATACAGCAAGGGAGATTTAGAAAGTTTTCCTTAATGATAATCTAACTACAAGGATAGTTAAGCACTGGAGCAGGGAACCCAGGAAGGCTCTGGAACCTTTGTCATTAAAGGTTTTAAGAGCAGATTAAGCAAGCATCTGTCTGGGTTGCTTCTACTTTAGAACAGATGGACTGACTGGAACAGAGGTTCCCAACCACCGGGCCATGGCCCGGTACCAGGCTGCAAAGGATTGGCTGCTGGGTTGTGGCACGAGCTTTAACCACTGCTAGCAACAGTTCTATGCCCAGGCCACGCTCACGCATGCTGACTGGCTGGGCAAGAATATCCTCACTTGGCCAATGACTGTGTCTTTTGCTTTTGAAATTGGACCACGGTAACTGTGGCTAGTCGTTTCTATATCAAACCAAGTGCGGCTTGTGAACTCAGACTGGTAGGGCAATGGAGTGTGTCACGGGAGTGGGAAGGGGGGGTGGAAGAGTTTGTAGCCAGCTGGGGGAGGGATAGAGGGAAAGGAGTAGGAGTTTGCAGCCAGCTGGGCATTCCGGCTGGTAGCGGGGAGACTGCAAACTCCTCTGCTCCTGGCCGGCTGCAAACGCCCCTGGCCTCACTGCCAGCTGGCTGGCTGCAAACCCCACCCACACAGAAAGGAGAACTGTGCAGAGGATGTACAATGCCAAGAAAGTGCCAAAAAATGGGGGGAAAAAAGCAACTTGCAATTGCAAGTATGACTCCTCAAACATAAATCATGAGTTTATCCCATCGGGTGATTCACAGGCTCCAAAACTGCGGCGTGTTATACGTGCAGATATGGTTTGCACTGTGGCTCTGGATATTGAGTTCATTTTGTGTCATACACTGCCTCCGATCCTCGCAACGTTTCTGACCCCTGACCTATAGCGACTATTAATGTAACAATTTTTATTGGAAAGTATTACTATATAATTAAAAGTGGTACTTAAAACTAGGATAGAAGAAACACATTATTTTTGTGTTGTCTATACTTCTTAACAAACAAGTGAATGTATCTAAGATATTTAATACAACAAGGCACAGATCAAAATATACTTCTGCATGCTTATATATTGGGCATTATGATATCAACACTTCACCACTGTGAATGTGGAATGGACTTACAAATAAAAGATGAAATGGTTTTACTGAGGGCTAGGCTGGACAGAAAAAGTCCATTTACTAAAGTAATTATACAGGTATAGTTAAACCACCACAGTTTTACCTCTATAACTCTCTAGGCAGACCCTTGTTTTCCAGAATAAGTGCACACGTAGAGAGTTATATGGGTGTAGTTGCAACAATTTAAACTCACACATTACCTTAGAGCAGTTTAACTTTCCCATGTAGCCCTTATTTTCATTGTCCAAGCTGAGAGAAATTCAGAAAGTTAAAGTTCATAAATAATGAAAAGTATATTGGGCTTTATAAATTCTTTTGATTTTAATGACCTAAGGTGGTAAATATATAGGGAACATGTTGCCAGCTAGGGCTACACAATGAATATTTTTTTTGGTTTTTTAACTTAAAACGTGCCCAAAATTTTACACTGCTGATTAGCTATAGTATATATGTTACCCGAAATGTTGGAGACACTAGATATCAAAGTGCAGTAGGGTGGAGACAAATATAGTTCCAATCTGCTCCAATAATTAAATCAACTTGATCTAAAGAGACTCTTTGCTTTAGAGTTTAAGGTTAGTTAACATACTGAATTGTTTGGCCTTTTGACTCTAACATGACCAAGAGGTCCAAATCAAATGTAATCATCTTTTATTACCAGTCCGCTGAAGACTAGGCTGAAATAACTAATACTCAAAATACGTAGCAATTCATCTGAGAAACTGGTAAGTGGCCAGACTTTTAACTCTCATGCTTTTCCTTTCACCAATCCATATGCCCCACACCCCCCAAGCCTATTTCAGGACTGTTCTACTCGCCCAGCTGCTGCTACCCCAATTGCTCCAGCTACAATAGCAGCCAGTCTCTGCTGCTTCCCTTCCCTCCTGTGGTTGCCACTTCCAGCCCTTGTCCCAGGGGTTGGGGCAGTATGGCACAATGTGGGGAGCTGAGGGTGAGTCCAGGCTGTGCAAGGGTAGGGGGGGAACAGCAGGATGCGTGTTGCAGCAGGGGAGGAAGGGCAGGAAAATCATGCCAACATGGTGCAGCAGTGGGTGGGGAAAGGGGCCCAGGCGGCTGCACAGAGCAGCAGAGGGAAGCATCTGTGCCACGTGCAGCCTCCAGGCACTTAGAAGTTGGATAGTGCTGCCATACTTGAACCCCAGCAGTATTCAATCCCACTTTTACACATTTCTCCTTTTTCTTTCCACTCTTATATTGTCCTTCATCCTCTTGTGCTTACCTCATCTGTTGCTAGATTTATTTCCCTTGCCTGTTTTGGGGTTGTTACCCCCTAGTTTTGCAACACAGTGCATAAAAGAAGCAGTGACATTCATTGTAATATTCTAGACAACTTGCAAAATAAAGACTTTAGTACATTTCATTTCACCACCAATACAGTAAATATAATGGAGCAGAGTAGAATGTGTGACATGATGCAGAAGAGAACATAACTGGGTCCTGAAAAATACTGTCCCCTGTGGGCAAATCTTCAATTAACATTGCTCATCTGACTGCAAAATTGGCTAGCCCAAAATTATTAGGTCATTTTTTTTTCACTCTATTTAATGCTCATTGCTCAATGATACAAGGTGGATGGAGCTGGGTTCCCAGAAATAAATATTAGTGTCCAATCCATTAAGCCTCCTGTCCCTGGCCTTGCACTGAAAGTATATAATCCCCAGATGTCTCACAGAACACAAGCTGAGGCACCCAGCCATCAAGCAACAGGGGAAAAATACTTCTCCCCTCCCCCAAATCTCCCTTGTCCAAAATAACCCCTTTCATACAAGAAAGATGAACATGTGGCCAGAATGCATCAATTATTTAAACACATTATGCTTTTAGTCCAAAAGCATCACTGAACTATTTTTTCCCTTCGGACTAATGCTGTTATCAGGGTTGCAGCAGAGGCTCCAGGCAACTGCTCAGATACAGCAAAGAAAACTGGATTCCAAACTGTGATTAAATGTTTAATAGCAAATAAAGGACTATGTCTCAAATTAAGTATGAGAGACATAACAAAAAATACTTGTGTACTTAAGAGACTTTAAAAAGGACTCAAATATTTCCTTCAATTCAGGCAGAAAGTAAGAAAAAGAAACAAGCTTATATATGAATTGTGATCTCAAATTAGTAACATTATGAAAACCTGAATGAATACTATGAAAATATGAGCCACACTTTGAGATTATGAAACAAGTGAACATCACGGCATGGCAAAGTAAGCCAAGATATAAATTATTTAGTTTAAAAAATCCCTAATTTTAATACGTTAAAAAAGGCAGGTAAGGACGAAATTACTGTAGTTTCATAATTTACCCAGCTAACACATTTCACTAATAGCATTAGACAAACATGGAAAAAAACATCTATACCACCCTTCAGCATACAGGCGGGAAATATCTCTGAATGATGAGATTTTTGGTTTCAAACATTTATGTAAGATAGCATTTCACTGAGAAATAGAAGTTATTTGATGTAAAAAAAAAAGATCAAATGACAAGTTTGTAAGTTATAGCATTTCAGTGACCATTTCTGAGCTGAAATCTTTGAGAAAAATGTCCATCAGTAATCATAACCTTGAACATGAATAACACAAGATAAATTTTTTTTTACCGAAAATATTCACTTATCCTCCCTTAAATATTAACCCCACTAAGTTTAAAAAAAGGAAAACAGTACCTTGTATAATGGAAAATTTTAATTCCGTTTAATTAAAATATCCTTTCTGATTTTTATTCCCTTCCAATGGGGGAAGAGGAGGGGGGAGAAAAATGCCAGCCTTTTCAGAATTCATACATCTGAAAAAACCTGTTCAAGCACAATTCAATATCTGCAGCAGAAATTCCCAATCATACTGACAGCAGCACCAAACATTTTTGTTTTTAAAACATGTTATTGATAAAACACTTGCTTTACCTGACCATTACCAGTAGTTGCCATGCTGATTTCTGCTGCTCCTTGACCTTCATTCTGCCTCTCTGTTTCATGAGAGCCTGCATCGTGCTTCCCTTGAGGTGCTCTCTGTTAATGTAGGAGTTTAAAGCATTATACGTAGAAATGGAGTATACTTTATCATTCAAAGCTTCTGGAGCTGTGAATGCATCAGTGTTGTAGCTTCACAAAACCAGTGAGCTGTACTTTGTATTTCATAACCTCTAGCCTTAATAATTAACAGCTGAGACTGACTGTCTTAGCAAAATTGCAAGATGAAAGTGAAGCATGTCCTCTGAGGATTATCGCGTTGCAAGACAAAGGATTTGCTGTGAGACACAGTAACACCATCCTCCACCGGCTGTGCTCACATCACTATCTGAAATATAACAGAATTGGAGCAAACAACTGTCTCCTCTGCAATGTCACATGATCTACACATTTACTGGAGGCAAATGCTAGAACAGTTAAATTATTAAGCTTCCCAATCAAACACAAGCTCTTTCTGGGTGGACAGAATGGATATACCCAGAGCATATCTATACCATACTAAAGGAATCTCTCCACATTTAAACAGTAATATGAAGAGGGTGAGTATCAATCATACTGTAAATTAAACAAACAATACGTTCATCCCCAAATTAATCACTGTCTATCAAAATGAATGCAAGTGATATTGCAAGCTGGGTAGAAACAGATGTTACAGCTCCTAATGGAAGTAAAATTCTCCACATAACTCAATGAAAATGACATTTTTGTCATGACCACTTAGAGCGATCATGAGATGATCCTCATCAAAATCAGAGCTCCTAAATACAGCTATTAACAAAGTTATCAAAAAGCTGTATGAAGTGTAAATGTAGGATTGTTCCTACAGTCTTATTCTTGATACTGAGCTTCAATGTGATGCTTTGACGCTATTACACCTATCAATATTGCACTATATGATCCAAACCATTTCCCCTCCTTCCTGCAGCTAAACTACCCTCCAGTCCACTGGATCCTACCATTTCCCTACCAATACTATAACACAGTCTATCTGATCTTATGCAAAATGTTAGGAGACGTTTTCACATATTTGCTGCCCTCTCTACACATATTTTAATTCTTCATTTACAGCTTTTCTGTAGAACAGGCCCACATTGTATAGTACCCCAGGCTAGACCTCTCAGTAAAGATCACTTCTATTTTGAATGCCTGTGATTTATTAGTTACAAACAGCATAACCAAATTAACAATACATGTTCTTTGCATCACCTCTGGCAGTTGTATGCAGGAACTCTGGATATAAAAGCATGAGTCTCTACCCACTTGACCCACATAATCAGGTATCTTAGCATGAAACCTGCCGTAGAATCTCAAACCCCTGTATGTCATGTAGCTACTAGAGGAGAGCACATAGCCACACACTGTATTACTGTGAGTCACAGAAACACCTTTGGAATGCTTTTTTGAGAGACAGCGTGATCAAAGTAGATGAGCCGAGACTCTAATATAATAGAGGCCTCTCATTCTTGCCTGTGTTGTGTTTGAAGTAACCGTGTCCAAACTCTCAATTAATTTATCTGTGACATTATCCCATTAATTTGGTTTTTCAAGGGTTGTTGGATCATAGCCATGTTGATTTAAAGACATAGCCAGGCAAGGTTCTTTGGATAGATGTGATATCTTTTATTAGACCAACTAAATAGTTGGAAAAAAGTTCTTTGCAAGTTTTTGGGCACAAACCACCCACAAAGGACTGTGAAAATGCAAATGCGTGGAAGTTTGGAAGACAATGGGTAGAGATAAGGAGGTGAGGGGGGAGAAGAGAGGGAAATGTAGGAAGGAATGCAAGTGGTCAGCTGGAGGCAGGTTACCTGGGGTATCAGATGTCAGGCAGGTTGTAATGTGTCATAAATCCAATGTCTATATTAAGTCCAAGATATTTTGTATCCAATAGATTTATGAAGTGAAGTTCACAGGCTCGTCTACGAAAGGTGTTTTGTAGATTCCTACTGAAGATTAGAACTGAGAGATCAGAGAGGGAGTGACTGCCTTGTGAGAAGTGGGCATTTAATTAGATACTTTTGTCTTTGATGTATTTTTGGTGTGCATTCATTCTGGTATGCAGTTGCTGTTTGGTTTCTCCTACATATTTTCCATATTTTCAGGGCATCTGGTGCATTGGATGAAATATATTACATTTCTGGAGGTACAGGTATAAGATCCAGGAACGGTGATGGTTCTGTTGTGGGGTGTAGTTATTGTAGGGCTGGTGGAGATATATTGGCAGTGTCATGGGGACGTAAGCATGGGCAAGCTGGAAACCATGCCCACAGAGAAACCCAGGGCAAAAAAAAAGAAAAAACTCACCACTTTCAGGACGCCGGAGAGAGACGCCCACGCGGTTCATCAGCTGCGCCCATCTGCAGCTGGGGCAGGTGACGTCAGCAACAGATGCTGCCCGGCGAAGATAAAAGCTGGCCCCGAGAGCGTGGGAAAAGAGACGCCGGGAGTGGGAGAAAGGGTGGAGGACTGCTGTGCCAGGGGCATCCAGCTGCAGCAGGAAGCCGAGTAGCCAGCGTGCAGAAAAGCAGCGGCGGCAGCAGGGGCTGCGGGAGATCCCCACACCGGGGATGACCGGCAGGGATCAGAGGAATCAGCAGAGAGGCCAGCAGCAAGAGCTGCCTGAGGAGCTCCTACCAGTGGCGGCCAGCATTGAGACACTGGACCAGAGGCGGATCCAGGAGGAGACAAAGAAAACCCCGGCTGGGGTGAAAGTGCGGGTCCCAACCCAGGGGACGTGCTAGTTTAGGGGCACTTGGTGCGAGGGGAATGGAGGGCCCACAGCTCCACGGTTGCCCCTCCTTTTTTCCTTTACTTTTCTTTTCCTCCTCTGACCTTTTACTCCTTCTTCGCTTCAGGTCGCTCCTGAAGTGTGTAGTTTTGTTGGTGTGGGTCTTTTTGTTTTTCCTTTGTCTGTTCTATTTTTGTTCCCTGCCTAGAGAAGGTTAACTCAGCACACCTTGCTGGGTTTTGGGGGACTAGAAGCCCCAACTGAAGACAAAAAACGACGTGTGAATGCGGCGATGACCGGTGGCATCTGTCGTAGGATGCTCAGGGCATCAGAGGGGACAACCCCAAAGGCAGAGTGCCCTTAGACCCTCTGGGTCTAGTTGGAGCCCAAGGCGTCCGTCCGCAAAGGAGGAAGCGTAGGAACCGAGGAAGACACCATCTAAGGGTTAGCCGCAAAAGATCCTGAGGCTCGTCTCAAAGGTTGGCGTATGGCTGGGGTATAGGGGAGGTGGAGCCCCGTATACATCCACCAAGGGATGTGACAACTCTGGAGGCATCCTCAACAGGGACCCCCTTCATAGAAGATCCATCTGAAGTTGTGGCAGGCGAGTTTGGGGGCTTCTCTGGAAGTGATTGAGGACCCCTCCGGAGTTGCGCACAAGACCAGGCATCTGCGCCAAGGCGGTGCGGGAGCGGATCATCGAACAGAGACAGGCACAGGCAGGTTTTACATTTTTTGTCCTGACATGGCCTGGATTTATTTGGTGTGGTTTGGGTCACAGGAAGTTTGTTTCTGGTGATGAGGTTAGCAAGACTCGGTGCTTGCTTAAAGGCTAGGATGGGTGGTTCTGAAAAGATCTCTTTAAGAACTGGGTCTTATTCTAGTATGGGCTGCCACTTTTTGAGGATTTTCCAAATAGGTTCCAGGGAAGGTTGGGATGTCATAATTAATGGTGTGCATTTAGTGAGGATTTTCTTTTTGTACTGCAGCAATTCTTCGCATGGTATCCAGGTGGCTCTTTCAAAAGTGCAGTCTCTCTTTCTGGGGGAGTGTCCTTGTTGGGAAAAAGCCCTTTTGAGATTTGGGAGGTGAAGATCACAGGTATTCTCCTCAGTACAAATTCGGTGGTATCGGAGAGCCTGGCTGTAAATTACAGCTTTTTGGTGTGTTTAGGGTGGTTGCTGGTTCTGCGTAGATATGTATGTTGGTCCCTGGGTTTCTTGCATATGGTGGTTTGTATTTTACCATTCTGGCTACTGATCGTGGTGTCCAAAAAGGAAATGTTGGTGCTGGAGTATTCAAGAGAGAGTCTGATGGAGGGGTGATGACTGCTGAATGTGTGATGGAAATCAATCAGACACTGCAGGTTTTCAGTTCAAATTATGAAGATATCATCTATCTATCTCAGGTGTAGCCTGGGTTTGATGGTGCAGTTCTTGAGGAATTCTTCTTTCAGGTGGGCCATAAAAAGGTCATGGACTTAATACAGATATTGGATTTATGACATTACAGCCTGCCTGACATCTGATACCGCAGGTAGCTTGCCTCCAGCTGACCACTTGCATTCCTTCCCACATTTCCCTCCCTTATCCCCACTCCCCTCCTATCTCTACCCATTGTCTTCCAAACTTCCACACATTTGCATTTTCACAGACTGGCTTGTTGTTTTTTCAATGAATTTATCAGGGTGAAAGTCATCCCGTGACTTAACAGAATGAGACCTTGGCTCATGAGCTGTGTGAAGTGCATAAACATTAGCATTGCTTTGTGGAGGAGCAGGGAGTAGAATTCACTGCCTCAGCACTAGTACTTTAGTGCACTTTCTTCTTGACAAGGGCTCCGGTGAGGGCTAGGCCGGGCTGCACTAGGGGGCGGGTGGCGGTGGCACTGGGAGAGGGGGGTTGGGGAGGCTATGGCAAATTCTGGAGTGGCTGCAGCCCCCTCCCACCCCCCATAGCCCTACTCCCATAGGCCCCCATGGTGAAGGAGAGAGTGGGGCTGGGACAGGCGCTGCACAGCTGGGTGGAGTGTGGTACAGAGCTGCAAGCAGCTCATCCGGGGGGTGTGGGAGGCTCCCACTGCTGCACACACCCTGGGAGGGCATGGGGGCACGTACCCGTGGATCTGTGCACGGGGGGGCAGGGCAGGCTGGGGTGGCATCGGGCTCTTCCTGGCACTGTGCCAGGCTGGGCTGCGCTTGCGGCAGGTGGCAGTAATGCTTGGAGTAGGACTATGGGAGGGGCTGTAGCTACTCCAGAATTCTCAGTAGCCCCAGCCCCTGCTCCCAGTACAGCCTGGCCCAACACCCCCA